TTTTTTTGTATATATTTCTTGCATAATCTTATAGATATATTACATAATAGACAAATATTTATAATAAGCTCGTCCTATTTTGAGAACAAACTAAAGAGTTGGCCTCTCACTGATTCTTCGTACACGAAGATCATTAAACTTCGTATCACAATTTGTGCTCTATGTATTTTTTTAATTTCTTTTTTTTTTTCTCTTTTAATATTATCATTATTATTAATAATGTTATTATTATTATAATGCCATATATATTATTTATATTATATAAAAGCCAGCGAACATTCAGGCGCAAAGAGAAATACAAAACAATTCGAATTGAAATATAAAAACGAAACAAACATACGTACATATAAAAAAAATTATAAAAAAGAAAAAAAGAAAAAGGACCATGTGAAAATCGTTAATACTTCATTTTTTTGTTTGTTTTTGTTTTTTTATATCTATATCCTCTGGATAAATTGCAATTGTATTTTTCTTAAAGTTTCCCTGCAATATCCGTAATATATCTGTGATAATTATCTTCATCATTCTTATAATATTTAATTCATGTTTCTTTTTTCTTTTTCTTTTTTTCTTTTTTTTTTTTTTTTCTTTTTTCAAATTCGATTATACGCGGATCATCACCCCACCCGAGATTATTTTACTTCGTTTCTTTTTATTATATTTTTTTTACATCAGAACAAAGCAAGATAATAATTATTATTATTATTAATATTATTATTATTTATTATTTTCTTAATGTTTCTCTTATCATTTCTTTCGATAGGCAAATATTTAGGATTAAGAAGCTTTTTTTTTTTATATCGTTAATTATAAAAAAAAAAGAAAAAGAAACAAAAAATATATGTTCAATAACAATTAGGCAAAGAAGAAATCGTCGAGATTATTATAATCGGAATGGTGCTCTTTGATCTATAGGGGTTGGTTTTCCTTTACGTGTTCCACTTGACGTTGTATTCGATACCGAAGTGTCTGACGCCCCTGATGGTTTTCTTGATAATTTTAATGATGGTGGTAGTGGTGTGCTCGAACCACTTGAAGGTGTACGTGTCCTGTTTTATATAAACAATAAAAAAAAAAACAATAATATTAAATAACATTATATATAAAATATGATGATATATTCATATATATTTTGCGACCAATTTTTGATTGAATCTTGTTGTTGTTGACAAAAATAAAACTCTGGGGTTTGTAAAATGATATTAATTATTGCACATTATTGGGATTAGTTGTTAATTATTACCTAGCGTGTTTAACAGCCGATGGGATGTTAGTTGCTGAATTTGTACAGATGGAACTGCTCCTGGCATTATGAAAAATTATTTAATCAATTTAGTTTGCGAATATTTGAGATTTATATATTAGTATTATTATTATATATATATTTACAGCATTTATATAATTGTTAATTTTTATTATCAAGCACGGGACGTTTTAATGATGCAATATAAAATAAGCATTGATCTCATCTAACACCGATATGAATTTGTCATTTGTATTTGATATATGCAACATACAATATAATTAATAAGGATTTATGAATTTATGATTAATGATAATGATATGATTGGGGAAATGGTGTGGTGGGTGTGTCACCCTGTTAGATTAAACGAAATAGAAATAATAGAAAATATTAATGTTTTAGATTATAGATTAGAGGATTATAGAATAGGATGAAAGAGATAGAACATTCGTCATTACCCAGTAGAATCGGTAGAAATTGTAGAATGGTTGCTTTGTGTCGAATGAGTTGAAATATTGCTGGTTGTTGATTGAGGGGATTTTATGTCCATTCCCACATAAACGGGTATCCTAGAGCGGCTAAACCATCACCATTCGAAGATATTAGTTTGTTAAATTTACATACCAACGATTAAATACAGATACATACACATACAACAATCACACAATTAGATTAGTATATAATCATCCTTTTCATATCATTCGATTCTATTCAATTAGATTTTATTATTAGTTATATGAGAACGACGATTATTTATAAATATAAAAATAAATATATCAAATGTATATATTTGTATATATTACAAATATTATATAATCGATCAACAAACTCACGTGGAGTTTTTTCTTTTGTTAAAAAAGATCTCACATAGATTTATTGATCAATTTAATATACTTACAATTTATATA